AGGAAATGGCAAAACCACTCCAGTATCTTTGCCAAAAAAAAAAACCCAAAAGGGGGTCATGGAGAGTCAGACATGACTAAAAAACTCAACAACAACAAAAGAGAGGTGGAGTATCTTGTTCATTGAACAGCCAAGTGGCCAACGTCACTGGATCAAAGGGTACATAGGGGAAGGGAGAAGAAATAAGTTATAAGAAGACTAGGGGGGTAGAGGTTCATGTAGGCAGTCAATCAGTCAACTAGCATTTATTAATAATTATTATTAAAATTAAAATAGTTAATAAATGTTTATTGGATTAAATTTATTGAATTATTAAATATGTACTTTGTGCCAGGCCCTGTGCTAAATGCCATAAAACAGTTACTTACTGATATTGCTAAATCTTATAGTTTGGCCAAACCTAGAAAATTGACTTGTATTTCTCCCCGATGGGCCTATTTAAACCTAATTGTCAATAACCATCAATTTTCCTTTTCCTTTAGAGTAATACAAACAGTTTCCATCCTGATATAAAAGTATTAATTCGTTAGAGAATTAGCTGCCAGAAGTCACCATGTATAATCTTTAAATGGCAGATAAAGATGGGGCTATTTAAGAATCCCATGAAGTTCATTAATCAGGGGCAGAAGCCAAGACATGATGGGTGCTCAGTGGGGACAATGGTCAGTTACTGGAACACAGGAAATATACTACCTTTGCCTGAGTTGTTGGTTGTCATGAGACAACCCAACAAGAGGAGGGATGCATAGGTTTGTAACGACAATTGATGGCCCATCAGTGAGTGCTGAAATCTGGAGATGGAGGAACGGGATTCACATGTACCACCTGTGTTACTTTGGGCAAGGCTCTTCATTTCTCTAGACTCAATTGAGGGAGCTGGAGTAGTTGACCTTCATCACTAATTGATTTTTCCCCCCATTAATGAGTGCTCATCCCAAGCAAATACCAAATGTTACAAAACCTATCAGTACGCTGAAGTGACAAACTGCATTTGGGTTTGCGTATAACCACTTCTGCAAGTAGAAGCAATTAATAATAATAATAATATAGTTTGCTACTAACCTTCACTATTCCTTCTGTTTCCTTCTTGTGTCCTCCTGATTACTGAACGTGCAAAAGGGTACCTTAAGATGTTTGATATTCCCCCTGGTGCTAGACATGTGTTAATACAGGAAGACGAAGCTTCTCCTCATATCCTTGGTAAGTGTTTCTATCCTTGCATTCTGCACTGAGTGCTAAGGTCTGCTTAAATGGTTCAATTATCAAAGAAATGCTTTAGTTTTGAGAACCAAAAGAATATCTTTTAAAAAGCAGTAATTGCATTGGGCTCAGGAGAGGGATGGGACTTGTGATTTCATTGGTGTAGGGAACTCTCAGGTGAGAAAACTCTCCTAGTGCAGGTTCTCACCTTCCCTGCAGTCTTAAAGAATCATGTGGGGGCACTTAGGGGTAAATGATTAGCCCAGGGCTACACAGACAATATGAGGGTGAAACTCAGTCCAGATCTCTTTGACTGTGAGGTTAGGTCTCTCTCCCTGAGTGAGGCTGATGACTTTTCATGTCTGTGCCTCACAAATCCAATTAACTCACCAGTCAGCATATCACCCTCTTGATGGCATCAGTGGTCTTTGAGATCCAAGAATCATCAACAACAACAATAATAACAACAACTCTCTCCTACGCAAGGTTGTCTTTCAATAATCATATCACAGAATTTCACTCAATCATTGACCTATGTTTACCTCAAAGCAAGATCCAGTTCAGTTGAATAAACATCATACTCCTTGATATGAAGCTTTATAAACATTTGCACACACCATGAACTTAGAAGACTAGTCCTAGTCTGCAAGGAACTTAAAATCTAGTATACAAATAATTAAAATGAGGCATAGACTTAATGACTAAGCCATAATCACTCAAGATACAAAAAGGGAGAGCTAGGTTGTAGAAGGTGGGGGGAGTAGATAAAGGAAAACTTCTGGTGTAGTGGATAGAAGGTTGAACTTGGAATCGGGAAGACCTGAGTTCAAATCCTGCCTCAGAGAATTCCTAGCCATGTGACCTTCTGGCAAGTCACTTAACTTGTCTTGGCCTCAGTTTTCTCTTCTTTAAAAAGGGGGTAATAATAGCACCTCCCTCACCGGGTTGCTGTGAGGATTAAATATGTTAAGTTCTTTGCAAACCTTAAAGCTCTACATAAATGTTAGTTATTATTAGAGAAGGTACGCTTTGAAGGAAGGGAAGGATTTCAGGAAGTAAGAGATTGAGTGAAGAAATAAAATCTTTAGTTTTGGGGATGAATCCTTGTTAGATTGTTAATTCAAGGTAAAAAAAAAGAAAGATAAAAAATAAAACCCTGTCTGCCTCAGTTTCCTCACCTGTAAAATGAGCTGGAGAAAGAAATGGAAAACCACTCCAGTATCTTTGCCAAGAAAACCCCAAGGGAGGTCCTGAAGAGTTGGACGTGACTGAAAATGACTGAACAGTAACAACAAAATGCATTAAGGGATAATAATATTAGAGCATTTGTCTGTGGTTATGATCACTCTACCAAAAGTAGGGCATTCTACCTATTACCATGTTGTAATCTGGTGATGTCACATGTCAGATATTCTCTGGCCAGAACAAAAGCCATGTGTTCTGAGTGTATTTGCACCACTTTGGGGAAAAACTTGGATGATCTTAGCAAATTTCCTCCTGCCCACTCATGCATTTTCCAACTTGCACAATGATCTATACTATCCCCAATGGTTTTTGTTTTTTTTTTTCTGGGCTGCTAATGACCCATTTGAGAAATAACCTGTTCCCCTCACATAAACAAGTCGAACAAATGGACTTTGCCTAATGTTCCACTTCTAAGCCCACACGTAGACTGCAAACATGCTGCTTGCTGTTGTTAAAGCAGCATCAAGCTTTCAAAGGCCCAGTTAATCTCATTTGTTGCCATAGTGAAAATTTCACTCTCTTTTACCCTAAAAGTAGAGAAAGGAATTATTTATACAGGTTTAGTTGAACCAGTTTTTAAACTGAAATTTTAAAGTCGATTCTCACTTATTACTTAAAACAAAAATAGTTACAAATCCTAGAGTTTTGATGTGATTCTTATTTCTCCCAGTTTATCCACCACCTTCTCCCTCCTGTTGGGTGTACAGTAAAGTAAATGAAAACATTATTATTTTTGTGGGCCATAAAATGTTTGCAGGGTATTCATTATTTTCAAGTTACGTGCCAGACTTTACAAAAAGATCACTAGAAAACATGGGGTTCTGCTTTTATCATTCCATGCCAGTGCGCTTTTAAATTTTTAATTTTGAGTGCCAAGGGAGAGTGTGCATACACACTCAATACACAAACATCAGTTTACCCAAACTTAACCTGTTTCCTGTCTCACATTTCCAGCTGTGTATCGGGCATCTTAAACATCTTAAATATGTATGTATATGTATGTATGTATAGGCGTATATATATGTATATGTGCATACATACATGTGTGTACATGCATATACATATACATGTACATAAATACATGGTATACTAAAATTTTATTGCATCTTAAGCTCTATCAAAGCTTAAATATATGCCTGCATGTATACATATATATATGTGTGTATACATAAACACATGTATATTGTATGTATGTATGTATATATGTAGGTACATCTTCCATCGAGGAAGTTTCCTAGAGATGCCAATATTTATATCCATTGTGGGAAGCAGTAGTCATTTCAAAACAATGAGGTATACTGTAATTATTATTCTTATTGTTTTAATGATTAAAGCATAAGGAGGGAGAAATAGCTTTTAGTTTTTTAGAAAAGAATGAATTTACTATGGATCCTTAGTTCCGTCATGCCTGGCCCCTCAAACTTTCCCTTTCTTTAGCTATCAAGAACCAGGCAACAGGGCATTACATTTTAAATGGCCGAGGGGAGGAAGCAAAGTCTCGGACATTCATCGATTTAGGTGTGGAATGGAACTACAACATTGAAGACGACATTGAGACTCTTCACACTGATGGGCCTTTACATGACTCTGTCATTGTTTTGGTATGTGGTATAATGGTTACAATTTCCTTGGTATCATTTTTTAAAAAATTAAATTTCATTGTAATAGCTTTTATACTGGACAGCGTCCTTATTAAAATTGATCTACGTTTGGGTGGTTTTCATTGGATTATTTGGGTTTTTAATGTGATGACATTTAAGGTATTTTTAAATTTGCTTCCACCGAGTTCCTTGCTTTTTGGAAATTCAGACTATCAGGTCAACTTCTTGTATTCTTAATCTCTTAAAGTCTAACTTGAAATCAGTTACCATCCTTCAAACTTCAAACATGATTAGCATTTGGAAAGAGTCAGAGTCAAAGTCAATAAACATTAATTAAGCACCTACTATGTTCCAGGCACCATTATAAGTGCTTGGATTACAAAAAAAAAGGTATAACAGTTTCTGCCCTCAAGGAGCTCACAATCTAATCAGAGAAGACAACACATAAATAGAAGTTGCAGTGGGTGATGGGGAATGATGAGGTCCTAAAGCCAGAGAAGAAGATGGCCTGACTTGATTTTGTCTTTCAGAATGGTGAGTTTCTGGAGATCATGAATCCAGGAAGTCAGATGGGTGGGAAATGATGAAGTGAATGCCCTGGATTCCCTCCTCAAATTATGGAGGATCTCAGAGGAGCTATGTCCAATCTTCATCTTCTACAGTTGGGGATTGGGGGAAAGCCAATCTCCCCAACATGCCTTGGCACTCTCAATCCAAGACTCTACTACATTAATAAATAAGGAAAAGAAAAGCCAAGATAGAGTACCATTTACCTACAGCTTATCATTTTCTTCCTCCTCTGCACACCACTCCCAAACTAGTTTTGAAAATTCTTTCACTGACCTATTTAACTTGGACAGGAATTGACATGTTACCACACATCTGCTTTCCAACACATAACCCACTTAGAAGATCAGTTTTGAGCAAAGAGTCTGGCATCAACAGGAACCCTTGATGCCTCAAGCTCTCAGTAGAATTGACAAGTATTGTAGAATCAAAGGATTCAAGAAATGAGTAGGATCTTAGCCATTGTCCTCATTTTACAGATGGAGAAAAACAGGTATGAAAAAGTTAAGTAACTGGCCCAAGTCTTTCTTTAAAAACAGGACTAGAGAAGATCAAATGTCCCAAACTTCAAAGAAGAAATAGAGTAGTCTGCACACTATGAGCAAGGGAATTTAACTTTTGACTGCTGGCAAAATTTTAGAATATATTATTAAAGTGATACTTAGGGGAAAAAGACAGGGTGTAAGTCATAAAGAGTAAGCATAACCACAGTCATTAAGAATTGGCCAGAAAGAGAGGAAAGGGAAGGGAAAAAAGTCATGCCAGACAAACCTCATATCCTTTTTTTCTTTTTGACAAGGTTATATGGCAGTTAATCAGGGAAATGCAATAAAAGTAGTTGACCTAGATATTAACAACATATTTCACATGCGATTATCTCATGTGGATGAAATGGTAAGATGTGGGCTAGGTAATAAGTAATACAATTAGGTAGAACTGATTGACTTTCTAGACCCAAAGAATAGCCATTCATGTACCAATGACGTTTGAGAACAAGTCCTTTATTGCTATACTTTGGACTAATTGACATCTTTACTTGTGGTTTAAATCAGAGATTCTTAGCTTGAGGTGGTGAAGGAGAGAGAGACAGAGGGAGACAGACAGAAACAGAGAGAGATAGAGATAGACAGATGGAGAAAGACAGAGATAGAGAGCAGGGAGAAAAAGAAAGAACTATATTTGACACAATTTGTTTCCTTTTTGATAATATCTATTTTAAGCATTTAAAAACATTATTCTGGGAAGGGGCCTGTAGGCTTCACCAGTCTGCCCAAGGGGCCCCTGACACAAAGAAATTGGGCCCTTGCCTTACATAAAGGCACAGATGGCATCCTTATCTCTTTTTCTGGTTGATAAAATCTTCGGATAACTAACGTGCTGGATGACAGTCAGGAGCCTAAGACATCTCCATCGACTGAAACATTGGCCCAGTCCCAGTCTATTATGATGAAATGTAACAGCAATAAATGTAAAGTCTTACACTTGGGTTCAAAAAATCAACTTTGCTTGCATAAAATAAGGAAGGCCCAGAATGAGGAAAATTCGTCTAATAAAGATATGGAAGGTTTAGTAGGCTTCAAATTCAATGAGTATACCAATTATATAATATAGCAACCAAGAAAGCTAAGGCAATCTTAAGGTACATTAGTTAAGAAAGAGGTCATTTCCAGCACTACAGGTGCATTGGTATCTCTATATTCTTCCTTAGTGAGACAACATCTAGAACATTACAGTCAGTTCTGGGTGCTACATTTTAGGAACTGGGCATTTTTGCTGACTGTCTCACATGTTAGATATTCTCCCTTTCCTCTTCCATGTCTCCTGGCTTCCTTGGCTTCCTTCAAGATATATATATAGATATCTATATAGATATCTATATAGATATCTATATATATAGATGGCACAATAGGTAGAGCACTTGGGCCTGGAGTCAGGAAGACCTGAATTCAAATCCATCCTCAGACACTAGCTATAGGACCCTGAATGAGTCACTTAGCCTCTGTCTGCCTCATTTTCCTCAACTGTAAAATGGAGATCATAGTAACGACTCTCATTCTCCGCTTCAACTAGAAATAAATGACAGGATCTTGGCCTGTTCATTTAGATGTGGGAGGGTCATTAAAGGCCATCTAGTCCCCAACCTCCTCAACTACATTATAGGGGAATTGTGAGGATCAAATGAAATGGAATTTTTAAAGTACTTAGCACAGTGCCTGACACATAACAGATACTTAATAAATGCCTAATCTCATCCCTCAAATCTCAGCTAAAATTTCACCTTCTACAAAAATCCTCTCCCAATCCCCCTTACTGCAAGTGCTGTCCATCTGAGATTACCCATAATTTGTCCTGTTATATAGCTTGTTTGCATGTAATTGTTTGCATGCTGTCTTCTCCATTAAGCTGTAAGCTTTTTGAGGACAGGGATGGTTTTTGGCCATTCTTTGTATCTTCCATGCTCAGCACAGTGCCTGGCATGTAGTAGGCACTTAAAATTCATGTTGACTTGATAAAGTGGGGAGTGTCCAGAGAGGGGTAACAAAAATAGTGAAGGGCCTCGAGATCATGTCATGTGGAAATTGGTTGAAGGAATTAAGGATGTTTAGTTTGGGGAAGAGAAGTCTTAGGATGTATGAGGCATTAAAACTGCTCTACTCCATCATAGAAGGTAGGCTTGGGAGTAAAGGGTGGAGATTACAAAGAAACTCATTAAGGCCTAGTATTAGGTAAAACTTCTGAGTAATTTGAACCATCTGAAGGGAGAATGGGCCCCATCAGGAATAGAGGGATCTCCTGCCCGGAAGGCAGAGTCTTCCAGGAAACATTGGGTGACCACTCATCAGATGTGCTGTAGTAGGAATTCTTATTCAGGTAGGGCTTATACTGGAAAGCATCTGATGTCTCTCTCCATTCTGAGACTCTAGGACACATAAAGGTTAGATTTTTGCTTACCAGAATATTCTTCCCAGTGGAATCCCAGATTATCCTCTTGAACCCAATTTCCTGAAAGCAAGGCACCTAGTTCAAGTTTATTTTAAAATATTACACCCTTTTATAATTCACTTGATACGATAAGTATGTGATTACAATAGTTGCATATACATCTTTTTTTAAAACAAAAAAATGCTTTCAAAACCCAAGTACAAATTATTGTTTAAAGGAAACCTTATGTAAAATAAAATGACCTTTTGTAATAGGAACAATTTCCCTTTAATTTTTAAAAATAAATTTAGACTTTTCACCCTTATTCTTTTAAAAACACAACATGGGTCTCAACAAACAACCTACTAAAATTTATGGGATACAGCCAAAGCAGTCCTTGGGGGAAATTTTGTATCTCTAAATGTTTATATGTATCAAATAGAGAAAGAAAAGATCAATGAATTGGTCATGCAACTAAAAAAAGCTAGAAAAGGAACAAATTAAAAATCTCCAATTAAATACCAAATGAGAAATTCTGAAAATCAAAGGAGAGATTAATAAAATTCAAAGTAAAAAAAAACTATTTAACTAATAAATGGGTCTCTTAATACATAGCCAACACACCTGATTGAGCTTCTAATTATTTCTGTTTCCTTGAATGAAAAGGAGGCATTTTCCAGCTTCAGTGACAATAATAATTTCAATTAGCATAGAACATTTTACTTAAGAGTTATTCAGCTCCATTAGCCTAATTCACGTGGCTATATTATGTATTTAATAGATTATTCCTCAGGAGAATGACACTCGTTCCAGTTTGACATACAAGTATATCATTCATGAAGACTCAGTGCCCACCATTAACAGCAATAATGTAATCCAGGAAGAATTAGATACTTTTGAGTGGGCTTTGAAGAGCTGGTCCCAGTGCTCAGAACCTTGTGGCGGGGGTAAGTGGACCACATTTTTCTCATTCAACAATGTGGAAAGAAGAGGATAATTTTTATGCATCTCCAGACTCTACATACTTTGTCATTTTAGATCCAGTGATGCATGTTAAGAGTGTCTCTTTTTATGGTTGATATGCTTTTAATGAACTGTTGTTTAAAGCTAGATTTTTTTTTCTTATCTGGGTAAGTTTTTACTTTGGGTCCAAAGTAACCTCTTCAGACTTTCCCCAGGTTCTCAGTATACCAAATATGGGTGCCGCAGGAAGAGTGATAATAAAATGGTGCATCGCAGCTTCTGTGAAGCCAGCAAAAAGCCAAAACCCATTCGTAGAATGTGCAATCTTCAGGAGTGCACACATCCTCTGTAAGTATGATTATGATTATTCATAATATTGCTAGGCTTCAATCTCCAATTCAGATAAAAATGAATGGCAGAATCATAGCTTGTGCATCTAGATCTGAAAGGCCATCTACTCCTTAACCCTTTCATTTTACAGATGAGAAACTGAGTCAGGGAGAAGTTGTGATTTGCCTTGGGCCACATAGACAGTAAGCATCAGAGGCAGATTTTGAATCCAGTTCCTATTACTATAGAACCACGCCAATGGACCTCACCATTTCAGTAAATGTCTGCAGATTCCCATTTAACAATGGCTGCCATGTAAACAGAGCCCAGTGTTGTCAGGTCCTCATTTCATTGTCCCATCCTAATTTACAGACCCATGACGATAGGCTTAGATGGTGTCTGTGTACTGTAGTTCATTCGCTTATTTAATAAACATGTAGTTGGTGCCTACTGTGCGCAATGCTGTGTGAAGGAAGACAAGGTTTCTAAAAGGCAGGGATGAGGCTTGGCTACATTCTAGGCATGAGGAATTGTTTGTGCAAATACACAAAGATTAGAGATGGAATTCAGGCAGCAGCTAATAGTCTAATTTGGATAGGAAACTGAGTTGGAAGCTAGATTTAATTTAGAGGCATAGTAATCAGTTATCATGGTTAATGATCAAAGTTACCTAGATACTGCCTGCTGAATGGACATCTCTTCTGAGCTGTGTCCTAGACATTCCAATGTGAGGATACCTGAACAAAACTTATCTTTCCCAATAAACTTAACCATTCCCCAAACTCTCATTTCTGTTGAGAGCACTAACATACCCTCAGTCATCCAAAATCCAACTTTGGATTCATTCTTGATTTTTCCTCTCCCCCATACCTCACATCTAATGAATTGCCAAGATGTATTGATTCTACCTCCTTGACATTTCTTCCATCTGTCCCCATCTGTCTACTCACATAGCCACCAACATAGTTTAGACTTTCATTGCCTCTCTCATCTGGATTACAGTCAAAGCTTGACTAATTGATATCTCTGATTCATGGCTCTTGTCTTTGCAACTCATCCTCTACAAGCTGAAAAAAAATCATCTTCCCAAGGCATATAGTCTGACCACAATACTACCTTCCTCAAAAACCTTCCTTGCCCCCCATTATCTCTAAATTAAAATCCAATTTCACACTCCATGTTCCAGCCAAATTAGACTGCTAACTGTGCCTTGAACTCAATCTCTAACTCAAATCCCACCCAACCCATAACCAAAAGAGTGTCTCAACTACAATATGCCTAGCTTGGTGTCATCCAGTCTTTTTTTTTTTAATTAAGACCTCTGAGAAGGGAGAACCCCTGACCTTAATGAATTGCCTTTTCCTTTTTTGGACAACTGTAATAGTTAGAAGGTTTATCCAGATATCTAAATTTTCCTTTTCACTATTTGAATCCATTGTTTTTAGTTCTCACAAATCAGGACAAACCAGAGAGTCTAATCCCTTCAAGTACTTGGAGGCAATTATTATGATTCCCCATAAGATTTCTCTTCCCTACACTAACCACCCACAGTTACTTCAACTGATCATCATTTAGGTATTCAAGTTTCTTTATCATTCTGGTTGCCCCTTTTGAACGCTTGCCAGCTTATCAATGTCCTTTCTACTCTGATGTGCCCAGAACTAAATAGGACTATTCTCTCCTTTTTTCTGTGTCTTTCTTAATGTAGCTCATTTCTTATGCTTTCTATTTGGCCTATTCTGCTTTTCCCCCCTTCTCTTCAGTGAATTTTTATGCTTTTTTTAAACCTTTAAGCCCATTCTGTTTTTAAGGTGTTATTCTTTAGTATTTTTTGTGCCTCTCTTACCTAAGTTGTTAATTCTCTTTTTATAATTTTATTGCATCACTTTCACATATTTTCCCAAATTTTACTCTGCCACTTTTTAAAAATCTTCCAGAAATTCTTCTTAGGCTTAGGTCCAATTAGCATTTTTCTTTGATGCTTTGGTTGTGGCTGTTTTCACATTGTTGTCTTCTGCATTTGTGTCTTGTTCTTCCCTGTCATCATAGTGGCTTATTATGGTCAAGTTCTTTTTTTGTTGTTTGCTCATTTTTCCAGTCTATTTCTTGACTTTGAACTTTATGTTAAAGTTGGGTTCTCCTCACTCAGGTACTGTACAAGCTTCAGGCTTTTTTGTGCTTGTTTTCAGAGCTGGTTCTGGGGGTCTGCAAGTTTTCAGTGCTTTCAAGTTAGTGTGATCCCAGGAGACGTATGGTCTTTGTTCTCGTGGTCTGTGCTCTGGTCTTTACTCAGGAAGGGCCCCATCTCTGTTGTAGCCACAAGTGGTTCTGCCTGCCTCATGTTTTTCCCCACTCTAGTCCATCCTCCATGCAGTCACTAAAGTGATTTTTACTAAAATGCAGTTCTGATCATGTTAACCCCCTAATCAATAAACTCTAGTGGTTTCCTATTGCCTCCAGGAACAAACACAAAATGCTCTGTTTGACATTCACAGCCCTTTGTGACCTAGCCCCTCCTACCTTTCCAGTCTTCTTACACCTTACTCCCTGACACGTACTTTTCAATCCAGTGATACTGGCCTCCTGGTTGTTACACAAACAAGACACTCCATCTTTTGGCACTGGGTGTTCTTTCTAGCTGTCCCCCATGCCTAGAACCCTCTCCCTCTTTCACTCCCCCTACTGACCTCCTTGTCATCTTGTAAGTGCCAATTAAAATTCTGCCTTCTACAGGAAGCCTTTCCCAATCCCTCTTAATTGTAGTGCCTTTCCTCTGTTAATTACTTCCTATTTATCATGTACTATCTTGCTGTGTATAAGTTCATTTTCATTTTGTCTTCTCCATAGATTGTAAGTTTTTTGAGGGCAGGGACTGTCTTTTGCCTCTTTTTTATATTCTCTGCTTTTAGCCCAGTGCCTGGCAAATAAGTGCTGAAAAAAATGTTGATTAATAGCAGCTTACATTCTAATGGAAGGAAACAAAATAACCAGGCATGGGGGATAGCAGCGAGTGAAAAGATGCAGAGATGATTGGTAGATAAATAAAGACGCTTATCACCAGAAAAGGAATGATTTTTCAGTCATGTAAATTCACAAGGCCAATCTCTTGGAAGGCAGGAAAGGATGCAAGGTACTTCAGTGAGGAAGTCAGAGATACCTGAACAAAATCAGCTTCTGGGTCCATCATCTGAGTGATAGCTGGCAAAGGCCGACGTTTCTGTGCTTTGGTTTGAACAGTGCTGGTCCTACATAACTAGAACTGTACATCTTTTCCTCCTTTCTGTAGCTGGGTGGCCGATGAATGGGAACATTGTACCAAAACTTGTGGAAGTTCTGGGTATCAGCTCCGCACAGTACGATGCCTTCAGCCTCTCCAGGACGGAACCAACCGCTCCGTGCATAGCAAGTACTGTCTAGGAGAGCGTCCCGAGACCCGAAGACCATGTAACAGATTGCCATGCCCCTCTCAATGGAAAACAGGGCCCTGGAATGAGGTGGGTATGTGGGTTTGAAGCAATTATTTTTTTTCTTCCCCCCTAAATGTAACGATCGTACGATTGGTAATGATGAACTACCTATGTGTGTTTAAAGCTTAAAGCCACAATTCCTCTTTTCAAAGAACTTATAACCAATTGACAAGACAGGTAGCATTTGTTGGTGTGTGTGGTGTGTGTGTGTGTGTGTGTGTGTGTGTGTGTGTGCTTGTGTATGTATATGTGTATGTATTTTCTTTATGATTCAAGGAGGTAGTTTTAGGAAAGGATTAATATCCATTCATTACATCTCTACCTGGATATCTCACTGCATCTCAAAATCAACTTGTTTAAAACTAAGCTTATTCTATTCTCTCTCAAAAGAGAGAGAGGTTCCTAAGCTATTTCTCATCGTGTGTGTGTGTGTGTGTGTGGTAACACCATTCACCCAGTGTCTCATGTTTGCCACCTTATGGTTTTCTTAGATTTTTCCCTCTTCCTCATCTTTTCTAATCTAATCACTTATCAGGTGTGATTGATTTTACTTCAGCATCTTTTTCATCCATCCCCTCCTCTCTACACTAATTCACTCCACAAGTACAAAATGGAGGAAGCATAGTTAGACAGTTTTTGTCTGGGAAAACATTTTTGACTGGAGATAAGGGAATTCTGCGGAGATGGTGAAGTAACTACAGACAGCTTGCCTCACATCACACCACATAGTACAATTAAAGAGCTCCCAAATGCAGAAAAATAAGCAATGATATGAATACGAGTGAGAATTCATACCAAAGTAGTTCTTACAGGAAAAAAAAAAAAGAACTGAAGACCAATTCACTAATCTTCCTTGCACTTTTAGGACTGCTTCCTCACTCCCCAGTCATCATTCTCCCATAGCCTACTGACTGACCCAAGGTGATACCAAGATCTTCATGATGGCTGCCATCTTAGGAAATGACTTTTAGAATGAACCCCTTTAGTAGTCTTCCTACCCACCAACCCATAACCCCTAAAATGGGTGGAGGAATCTATCACACCAAACCCTTTGGCACTAGGCTCCTAACCCCTCAAGTAGCCCAATCACTGACTTGGGGGCCTATTGCAGTTTTAGACACTGCCTTTCAGAGTTAACGGCTTGGAAGCATTTTAATGGGGACCTTATTCTTAGGGAGATTGAGACCCATGAAGCATATCAGCTACAAGCAGAAGAAGAGAAAGACAGCTGGAGATGAGTACAGAGCCAGGGAACAAGAAAGTAGAGGAGGGAGAATATGAGAAATTAAATGTGCATTTCTAGTTAATACATGATAGGAGGAAACAGGCAGTCAGTAGGAGTGAAAGGTAGAGAAGAATCCCAAGGGCAAAGGGTTCTGGGACCATCCCTCATAGCAGTGTCTGGGACCACCCTTCTTATACCCCTCACAGCTAGCCTCTTTAGGTTAATAGAGATTGAATAAAATAGAGAGAAAATTAGAGCCCCAAAGTGACTAGTAAAAGCAGTGAATAGGCCTTGTTGCAGTGGCCACTCAGGGTCTGCCCCCACAATTTGGGGGCACTGACTTCTTCCAACACTAGTGCTGTGAGAGAAGAAAAAGGCAGAGATAGAGCACAACAGTGCTGCTCCTTCAGTTGGAAAAGAACTGGGGCTAAGAAGCATAGTTTCATCAAAGATACCATACAAAAATCAACAGAATAATTGAAAAAATATACAAAAACTGAGGAAGAAAAATGGATAAATATCAAAAAGAAGAACGATCTTTTTAACTTTGTTTTTCCCATTCTAAAAAAATTTAAATTTAATAAACATCAACAGAAAAGAAGAGTGACTTATACATAGCAGAACAGAGAGGGTTGTACATAAATCTGAATCTCTAGCACATACAGCTTGCTTTGTTGAAAACAAAAGAAAACAAAACATAAAAGCAATCTCCATGTTCAACACTTCTCAACAAAGAAAACTGAATCAACATCATCTCAGGAACGTGAATGAATTCCAATTCATTCCGTGAGTCCTGAGATGATAGAGGAGCAACTCTAAGAACCACTGGAAAGGTTCAGAAGAGCAATGAAAGAATTAGGTGAAAACATTGAAGCAATTGGAGCTCTTAAAAAGGAAATTACCAAATCTTACTGGTGACTAGACAATTTCTAGCAATAGATAATGTCACTCTCTGTAATAGTAGACTCTGAAAAAGAGAATGATAGAATTGCATACCAAAAATACAGAGGTGGAAGGTAAAAAAAACTTTTATGAAACATGTTTTTTTTAAAGTTTGTAGAGACAGATACAAAAAATCTGGGAGGAGCAAGATGGGTGATTAGCCTAAGCAAACTTCTTCAGCCCTTCAAGCTCCAAACAAAGGAAGTAGGTATCAGATGTAGATTTATTTTTTATTTAATGAGCATTTATTAAGTACCTACTATGCTCCAGGCACTGTACTAAGTGCTGAGGATATTTGTTGTTGTTATTCAGTCATGTCTGATTCTCCATGATCCCATTTAGGGTTTTCTTGGCAAAGATACTCAAGTGGTTTGCTGTTTCCTTCTCCAGCTCATTTCACAGATGAAGAGCTAAGGCAAACAGACTTAAGTGACTTGTCCAAAGTCACACAACTAGCAAGTCACTAAGGCTGGATTTCAACTCAGGAAGATGAGTCTTCTTGATTCCAAGCCCAATACTCTAACCGCCATACCACCAGCTGGGGATGTACAGAATGGCGAAAGATAGTCCCTGCTCTCAAAGAGCTCATGGTCTAAGGAGTTTTTTTTAGAGCTAAATCTTCATGATAAGGAGAAATAACTCTGAACAAGATAAATCTTGTGAAATGATACCAGAGAACTTTAATACTTAGAGTAATCACACCGCACCACTACAACCACCTTGTTCCATTTACTTGGGGCAGGGAGAACTAAGTCATAGGCTTGTGCTAGGCCACAGACCAAGGGTAGGCCCCCCTGAAGCCATAGTAACTCTGTCCAAACATCCCCAGTTCCAGTCACCAGCAAGAAATAAATGGTAGGTGCTGACTCTGTCTAGTCAGGGCAATGAAAGGAAATAAGTGGAGGGGGAAATCAAGATGGCTGAAACAGTCTGGGTATAGGTAGCCAGCTGCTTTGGTCTTGAGAGAAAGGCAACTGGAAGCTTAGCTGGGATCAGCCTCCCACCCTTATGCCTGCTTAGAGCAGAGATTTCTGGGGCTTCAGTGACTCTTCCCAAGTGCCTTTTACCTCACTTTCTCTACCAAAGAATGACAGATGATGATTCTGTCCAGCCAGGTGAAAGACAAGAGTAGGGATGAGGAAGAATAGAATGAACTGAAAATTGTCCTATCCAACTGGCTGTTTTGGGTGTAAGGGAAAGAGTGGCAACCTAGCTGGGAATGATCCTATAATCTGGATGTTACTCAGACCAGGGACTGGCAAATTCCAAATCCTCTATAAAAGAATGAGGAAATCCTTCATTCTATCTTCAACAGTCTTCAGTACAAGCAAAGGAGAAGCCTGAAAGTGAGGAGTGAGGAATGCAAGAAAAAGGCTGAAAGACCAAATACTTAAAGAAAATGCAGCAATAAAATCCAAGTGCACAAGCAGATAAACCAACAAAGGATACTAAAAACACAAGGAAAAAAATGAGTAAAACTATAAAAAATGTACCATGAACAAATATTTCAATATTAGGCAAAGTGAACCCATTAGTAAATGATTAAAGGGCCTATGGATTCCTCAAAAAAATGATGTTCAAGCAACTTCAGAATGACTAAAAAGGGAAACAATATTCATAAAAAATTAAGAATTTAGTTCAGCAATTAGAATGCTCAATGCATAAAACAGTGCTCAACACAAAATGTAAAATACAATGAACAGAATAGAAAACTTTGAATACATAACATAGAATCTCAAAAAATAGGCGTGGTAGAAAGATTAACAGAATTATAATGCAAAAATACTGAAGTGAAAGACAATTCGGCAGAAGAAAAATTTGTTCAGTCATTTCAGATTCTTCATGACCCCATTTGGGGTTTTCTTGGCAAAGATACTAGAGTGGTTTGGCATTTCCTTCTCCAGTTTGTTTTATAGATGAGGAAACTGAGGCAAACAGGGTTAAGTGATTTGCTAGGAGTAACACAACTAATAAATACTGAGGCTGGATTTGAACTCAAGAAGAAGAGTCTTCCTGACTTCAGGCCCAGGCACTTTATCCACTATATCACCTAGCTGCTCTATAAGAAAAATAAAAGACAAAAACATTAAAAGAACACATGAAATCTATAGAAACCAAAGTGATTGTCCTGAACATATATTGAATAGTGGTAACTAAAGACTCATAGATATCATAGAAGATAATAAATTTTTAAAAAATACCACAAGATTAATGTAAGAAAACTGCCCAGAATTTCTGAATATAGTCAAATAAAGCATTGTCCCCTGAATGGGAGGGATGGGGATGCTGAATCTCACTCCCACTGGAGAGAAGGTATGACTCTGTGGTTGGAGATAGGAACTTCATGATGGATTTAGTCTGCAAAGAGTTTGCACATTCAGAAGCCACCTCATCTTTAGCCTGTTATGCTTCCTTGGGCAATTTCTGGCCCAAGAGAGAGAATTTTTGAGTTCCTAATGGTAGCTAGCACTTTGACTCATAGATAAAACACAGAACCAGAGTTGCTTTTGACATGACCTTGAGGATGGAGAATGGTCATAATGAAGGCAGGAAAGAAACCAGGACCCATGATTTGGGACACAGATTTTGAGTGCATAGTTATCAATTTTAGTTAGTTAACATAGTATGTTAGTAACATAGTTTAGTTAACAACATAGCTCAGAGTAAGCTAACTCCTACCACAGAGAGTCACTTCTATCTGACATTGTTTCCTCCATAAAATGATACTCCTAGGAATGAGGCACAGAAAAAAAAAGTTAATGAAGTCTTCCAAAAGCAGTAGCATAAAAATGAGACAGAAGAGGGAGCTCAAATATTGTACTTCAAAAGCTTTAATCCCACAAGGGACACAAAGAAAATA